AGTGAGAGGCCAAGTCCAAATTCCTGCGTTTTCTACCCAAATCTAAAAACGGGGGTGGAAAGGAAGGCTGAAGGGGCAGCAGCAGCAGCGCTAGGCGGGCAGCGGTGCCGCCCCCAGCCCCTCGTGTCCTTGGGCAGACGCCTCCTTCGACGAGGACGACTTCGACGAGGACGCCTACTACGCGGCGCTGGGCACGCGGCCCGCCCTCAACCTGGCCGAGCTGGACCCGTCCTACCAGCCGCTCGTGGAGCTCTTCTCCGTGTGCACGGGCGAGGAGCCGCGCGCGCGCCCCTCGGCCGCCCACATCGTGCACGCGCTGGAGACCCTCCTGCCCCTCTTCCCTTCCAGTGGGTGAAGCCTCCGCCGGGCGCCTCCAACGAGGCCCATTTCCRTAAGGAACCCCCCAGTTCTAGCACTACTGCAGCCCAAGGTCAGGCCTGGGTGTCCGGGCCTTGAGACCCCCCTCCAACCTGCACTTAGGTCCTCAGGGGCCCCTCGCTCCCCGTGCAATGCTCCTTCTGTCGCTGCTTTTAATCGTTGCGTCCCTGCTGTAAATAGAGTATTAGCTCTTGTACACGTCCGTGTGAGCTCAGATGTTGCTCTGTTGTGTCTCTTTTTCTGTCTGGAAGGTCCAAAATAAACTTCTTTCCCACAAAGGTGGAGAAAGGGCCGGTGTTTTCCCACCACCTCTCCCTCGGGGGCTGCTCCTCCGAGGGAGCAGCCTGTGGCTGCAGACCCCAACCACGCAGGAGCAGGAGGGCACGGAAGGGAGGAGCGCGGAGCAGGACCGGGCCCCGGGCTGTCGAGGCCGGGCGGGAGGAGGCCGCCTGCACCAACCCCCTGGGTCCCAGCGTTGAGCAACAGGAAGCGGCCGCAGAGGCTGCCCAAGAAAAACGGAGCGGGGCACCAGGAAAGCAACCAGGGCTCGGTTAGGAAAGCTCTGACTCACAGCTGGAGCAAGGCTGGCTCTGCGCCTGCATTCTCCTCCACCTCCTCCTGCCTCCTCTCCCGCCGCTCCGCGGAGCTCAAGCTGAGGGCTACCTTTCCCCGGCACCTGTCAAAGATCGGGGGAACTGGGGCTCTTTCTGCCCCCTTCCAGCCACAGAAGCGAGCGGAGGCACTCGAGCTTTCACAGTTTATTKAACAGGCGCTGCCAGGAGCAGCTTCCCTGCCCCAAACACCCCCGGCCCCCTCGTCCCCGCTGCAGCCCGGGGCTGCCCTGCCTGTGGGAGCCCCTGGGCTGCAGCTCTAGGGCTGCTCTTGCTCACCCCCTTCACACAAAGTTGTGCAGATTTGCAGATTTCTACCCCAAACTCACCTCGCTCTCCCTACATGTTTAAAGTACCAAGTTAGAGGCCGCTTCTGTCCTACCTTGTGTCTCGAGCCCCAGGCTGGACTTAAGACGGAGAAGCTGCACAGCAGGCCCAGAGCTCTAAGCCTTAAGCAGCCACGCAGGAGCAAGAAACATCTTTATATTAATAGAACTTTGAAAGAATTTAAATTACAATAAAATTTAGATTCAGAAGAAACATTTTTAAAAAGCYATCTAGCTGCTCTCCCAGCAAGCCTGCAGTTGCTTGGCTTCACAGCACCCATTAAAATATACACCAGCTCTGTACAGAAAGTGACCCACCTCCTTGCTGCCGAGGCAGAGAGAGGAACTAGCGCTCAGCAGGAAAATGCAGGTTGGCCCGGGAACAGCGCTTAAATGTTATTTGAAAAGCAAATTGCTTGAGCTGAATTAAGAAGCCGAGCTTTGATTCAGCTTACGCTAGCTGCTGCAAGCTGATTATAACAAATAAAATTGTAAACAAGGAAGTTGGGGGTTTGGCAGTATCTCGTCGCAAAGAGCTTGCCATCTGGTGTCGGGTCCGAGAAGGCAATTTCGTCCGTGCTTAGGTAACAGCCGTACATGAACGTGTTCCTGCAAGAGAGACCACGGCAGGTAAGGGGCATTTGTACAACCTGGAAAATATTCCACCTTGGAGAGCCTCTCCAGGCCCTTCTCCCCAGGAGCTGCTTGTGTTTATAAGCCTTGGTTTCAGCCCCAGGGGGAGAGGTGCCACTTTGCTCTCTTGGCTTCTGCAGGAATGTTAAGATGAGCAAAAAGGGTAATATGGGATGGCACAAACAGAGAAAACCGTCACACCCGTTACAACCGTATCAGGGCTCAGATTCAGGGTCCAGGGCACCCTAGAAAGGGGGTCCTGGGCAGCTAGAGGTCCCCAAGGGCCCTTTGGCTCCTATTTCTGGCAAGCCAAGCACTAACCACAGAACAGAGGGAAAACCAAACCCTGGCTGGGGAAGCTTAAGGATACTGAGCTGTGTTTTACAAACACGCAGAGACCCTGTGCAAGACTCACGGCTCACAGACTACTACCAAGCGTCCGTATTCAGGCACGGGGAGCCTTCCCAAAAGGGCTCTGTTCAGTTTCACTAAAACTGTGTATGCTTGAAACGCTTGGAGTTTCCCACCTGGAAAAACTCAAGGTTTCGGGCACATCAACTTGTTCGATTAAGAAAATAAATCCCTTTCCAAGCGAAACAACTTTTCCGCACAAGGCCTGTCAGTGTAGCTCTGTGTTCGTGTTACACCCAGCACTTTGGAACCTGGCTCACACTCGTGTCATGTTATGTATTTTCAKGTTATGTGCCGTTTTGTATCAACACTTCATGTGTATTTTTATGCTTTATGTGGCAAGTTATTGAGTACTGACACTGTGTCAAGGTATTCTTAATCCATCCACTTGATATCTCTCTACTAGAAAGCGAGGATTTCAGGCTTGCTTAATGATACAAATCCATAGTTTTCCTTTAGGGAACAATGCAGCAAGTTATTCTAAGCGCTTTTTTTGCTGCAGTCCTCGCTCTCTCCTCAGGAATGCCCTCAGGAGGGCAACCAAGGACTAAGGGCCTGGAATCTCTCTCGTACGAGGAGAAACTGAGTGAGTTGGAGCTGTTTTCTCTGGAGAAGGGTGAGAGGGGAGCTGGTGAGTGTGTCCAAGGAGCCGAGGGGAGGATGGAGGGAGGAAGGTGCAAGCTCTGGTGGGTGGTGGCCAGGGGCAGGCCAAGGGGCAGTGGGTGCAGGTTGCAGCGCAGGCAGCTCCATGTGGCCGTGAGGAAGAACTTGTTTGGTGGGAGGGTGCCCGAGCCCTGGCCCAGGCTGCCCAGGGAGGCTGCGGAGGCTCCTGCTCTGCAGATCTGCCAGCGCGCCGGGATGCGCCCGGGTGCCCCGTGCTCTGGGTGTCCCTGCTGGAGCAGGGGGGCTGGGGGAGCCCTGGGGGTCCCTTCCAACCTCAGCCGTTCTGCGAATAAGCTCGAGCCTTGAATTTGATCCATGAATCCGCGGTGCCGGGCTCCGTACCTGGCCACATCCAGCATGCGCCGTGCGACGCCCCTCCTGCGCGCCAGGCTGAACACCCAGAGGCGGCTGACGCCGCACAGGGCGGGCTCGGGCTCGGCCGAGCAGCGCCAGGCGCGCTGCTGCTGCGGCACCTCCTGCCCCGCGCCCGCCTCCGACAGCACCCGGAACGCCTGCGGGGACACACGGACTCCGTCGAACCACTGCTCCCCTAAAGCAACACCATAAACCCCTGAAATTTTGCCCCAAATTCTGCCCCTGCGCATGCAGTTTGCACCACGTACCTGTTTGATGGATTCAGCCACTAGACACCCAACTATCATCTTCTCATTGGACACAAACAAATACATTTTGGTCTTGGCTGGGCAGTTGAGCGTAACTTGCTTAAATCCTAGCTCGTTATCGACTATTTCTCGCACATCTTCTGCCTGCAGAGAACAAGCACAGAGTTTTGTGAGCACCTAACGTGCACATTCTTCAACTCGGAGTGAATCCTGCCAGAAACGGGGTTTGTTCCCCCAGTACACTTCAGTGGTGGCCCGAGCTTCATGGTGCAGCTGCAGGATGCTTTGCACCTCCCTGTGATACCAGGGTTCTTGCTGCCCATGCAGCTAGTCTTGCATTTCAATGCCGACTACTTAGGAATAGTCCCTTTAGAAGCAGTTTTTAAGCAGGGGCTTAACAAGAAACCCTGTACCAGAGCAACCACCTCTTGTAGACAGGCAAACTAAAGCCCAGGTGCCCAAAACCTGCTTTTCTCCAGGCAAGTCTGTATAAAAGGAGCCTCTGCAGCTACAGAGAGCAGGTCTTTGGACAGCGTGCTTAGCTATGGTTAACCGGCCTCCCCAGCAGCTTGTTTTACTGAGCCAGCTTGTGTTTTCCAGCTTGTGTAGTACTGAGCCAACGACACCAGTGAGATTGGGAAGTGTCTCCACCAGCGTGCTCGTGCTGCTCCATCCCCTGGGGAATGCAGCTGCCTCCCACCCCGGTCCTGCAGCTGCTCGGCCTGTTTCTTGCCGCAGCAATTTCAGTGCCAGGTAACAGCCTATTCGCTCGCTTCAAACAAGTGCTTTGATATAAAAGCCACAGCAACTACCCACAAGAATAAACAAATGCTCAGGGAGAGCGTAAGAGGGAGAGCAAGTGGCTCTTATCTCAGCATCGAGGAGCAACTCCAGATCCCGCGTCCTCGCTGCGGCAGAGATCAGGTTATGCTGGTCATTTGAGAGCAAGGATTTGGGCACTGGGAATGGAGCTGCTGTCCCTCTCCAGGGGAACAAGCCCAAAGCAACCTGGATTGCTCCGGTCCAGGCTGTCACGCTCCCACCCAGCTCTCCTACTCCCTCCCGTGCCCTGGCGAGCAACACGTGGTCACGCAGGCTGAGGTAGTGCGTGGAGCTGGGCCAGCAAAGAGCTAACGCRGGACAAACGCAGAGCGAGAAATGGCACCTTCTTCACTGCGTATTTKGGGTCGTCTGGAAGAATCAGCACAATTTTCCCGTCCCAGAACTCTGCCACAACCCGCTCTTTCTTCCAGCCCTGCCAAGGGGAAAAAAAGAAAGGAACAAAAACAAACAGAAACAACCGAGTCAGYGATGGAGCAAGAGAAAGTGATTCAGTGAAAACTTTGGCAGATGGAGGTGTAACTTGAGCCACTTCAGTTCGCASGGAGAAAAGCCACATTTATCGACGTGATGAACACAGACAGTTGCTGGGACTGCAAACAAYGCGTTCCAGCCTCCCCTTTGGGCAAGGAATCCTCTCCTGCAGCTGCCTCCACTTTGTACCTGAACAACAGGCCCAACGTGCCCCGCTGCCACGCAAACGCMGCCGTGGCCTCACCACATATCTGAGCCCCTCGAGGAATCTCTCGTGGTGCTGGATGTGCTGGGCTTCATCCTCGGGGCTCGCAGCTGTGTAGATCATGCCGCACGACTTGCAAACGACGGCCCCAAAATGCTTCTGCCCAGCGTCCTGGAGAGAAACAAGAGTCAGCAGAGCAGGGGCACCGAGGATTGCGAGCAGCTGTTCAAACAAGGAGCCAGCTTAGGAATTAGGGGAAGAGTTAGGTGTAGGAACAGCTAAAGACTCAAATATTTGGTTTCTTTTGAATCTCAGGACAAGCTACTGCTTATTTGCAGAATGTTTTAAGCTCTGCAACGTTTCCTTACTGGAGGCGTTGTGATAAATCTGTTACTGGCCTTGAACTCAGTACAGCAGCAACCTTCTCATGGAAGAAATAAATAAATGGGTAACTTGTGAAAAAAAGACTATTGTTTTGCTTATCTGGAGAAAAAAAGCCCTGCTTTATATTTTAGGACATAAGGAGGGGGAAAGAAGGCACTAAAGGTCACTAAATGATGGGAATCCTGTAACTTCCTGCAAGTGATTTTAGGCAGGAATAGCTGCMAAACAGGCAGCCATGAACAGACCTACATTTCAGGCTAAACTCCTAGTTACAGATGACTCCAGGAGAAAAACAGGGAAAAAGAAAGGAAAAAGAAGAAGAATACAAGAAGAGGGTGAGGGGAGAAAGYCCATTCCTGCTCCGGAGGAGCCCTTGCTGACAGCAGGCGCCTGCCCTGTGCTTGCAGACTGTGCTGACTCCGCTCACGCAGGGTGCCACAAGTCGTGGGAAAGGAAAAGAGAGTCAAACCAACTGCCTCCTACAGCATCCACACTGCCTTGCTCGAGTTTTCCTTTTTTCTTTTTACTTTTCCCTGCCTCTAATATCATGTTCCATAAGCCTCTTATTACTTCTGAAACGTAAAAACGTGCTAGTCCCAGGGAAACCTTAAAAACATATTTCTCGGCTACTCCTCCTATCCTAGCATCTGAATTTCTGGAAAACAGATTTATTCAATACTCCAAGCTGAGGCTAGTGCTGAGTATGTTCATCCCTGTCCCGTCACGGTCGTTGCAATGTGGCTTGTTTGAGGTTTATGTGCAAGGAAATGTAGTTATTGCTCAGCCTCAAGCCCCATTTCTCATTTCTTCAGCGCTGTAGTCGCAGGGTTCCCAAAGGAGGAGCCTTACAATTATCATCTGGTCCTTGGAGCGTCTGCAGAGCTCTTTTGTCTTCTTGCTTTTCTGCAGGTTCAGAGCCATTCTGGCAGGCGGGTTGGACCCGCACGGAGCGGCCGGTTCCTCCGGGCTGCCCTGTGTCCTGCAAGTCATTTCAGAGATAATTTAGTTATTTCACACAAAGGTGCAAACTGCAAGTTGGGTAGCCAGGACAAAGCAGCCTCATTTCTCAGAGAATAGCCCAACTAAACTAAATTCAACAAAACCAGTTTCCTGTGGTGCCAAGTCCTCCAGAGGGGACAGGGGCTGCTTCAGGACAAACAGCAATGGCACAAGGAGAGTTAAATAATCCTTATTAAGCACCTCTCATTTCCCAGACATGCTTTCCCAAGGACATTAGGGCACTACCACTAGCCATAAGTCAGCAGCCCCTTGGGAAGTCAAAGGGATACACAAGAAAACCTGAGAAATTCCAAACCTTGGGAGAGCAGCGTGGCCACCAAGCGCCGCACGACTCCAGGTGGAGTCTTTATATGAATTTGTATATTTATGACATGGGCCTGAGCTATTGGGAAGCACATGTCAGTTATTAATAATTACCCAGTATTTTTGTGACATTACCCTTAAATCTTTGYGTGTACGGGAGCATTTCCTATGCAACCCTAAAGTGCTCTTCAGCCACGAAACTTAACCCCAAACTAATTTAGAGATACAAAACCAAACGCTTCTCTCAACTCAGATTTCCAAAGCAGCGACTTCAAGTGGGAAAAGTTTGTGCTCATCACTTCCCGAGAGACAACAGCAAATCCGAGATCGATTCCCAGTTAATCACAAACGCTGGGATTTYCCCACCCTCCAGAGCTCCACTTGCACCACGGAAGGTATTTGAAAAGCCACACACTGAAGCAAAGCAAACACTGCAATCGGATCTCTCTTTCGACACTTCTCCRGGGCAGAAGACTATGACAAATTTTGGAAGGTTTATTTTGGCTCTCTCGGAAGTCGTTTCAACTGTTTATGTTCACAATAAACCAGGCTCAGAATGTTTTTGTTGTTAGCAGAACGTATCGAGCGGAGGCAAGAAGGGAGAGGGAGAAATAGCTCTGCTTCTTGTGTGAGGAAACACAAGTGGAAGAGAATGGCGGCAAATTAATCGAAATAAACTGACTGGTGAGGAATGTGTAGTAAAATTATGAATATACCTTGTTTGCTAATTGCCTATAGYGCAAAAATCAGGTGGAACTTGCTGTGTTTCACTTGGTGCTTGTCGCCTTTTGTCCTGGCTTGGCCTTCTTGGCCACCAGGGCACCTTGGTGGCCCAGGGGCTCCTTGGTGCCCAGTCCTTTTGCACAGAGGCAAAAGGGGCACCTGGGCAGAGGTGCAGGGCCCAAGCTCTGCCTTTCAGCAGCCCCTCGAGCCACCTCGCTGTCCTCTCACCTCGCCCAGGCTGCCCAAGCAGCATTTACCAGGCTGAATAAAGAACAAACTGTTTGCCAGCCCTGGTACCTAATCAGAAAGTAAATAAAGAAACACTACAGGCTCAAACAGCATCACGGCTGCATCGTTATCGGACATACTCGGTCATTCCTCGGTCATTCCTTTAGCTCTGGTGATTTTATCAGGAGCGTTAACAACAGTAAGAGAAAAGCACCGTTACTTCCTTCTCACTTGGAAAAAGAGAGCTCCACTTGCTCAATAATATGTCCAAATTCACCATAAAATGCACTAAAACAGGTAGAAAGGGAGTAATTCCTTATTTTCATACTATTAGCACCATAAACCAAGCAAAATTAACCTTTCATCTTCACACACACAGAAAAAAACAAACCACCCCACAGATTCTGAAAGATTCTGAGATTTCTTTCTTTTGTCTTGGTACACTGGCACAGCCTGGGAAGCTRTTGGTATTTTTAGAATGAGTACTGTTATTTTTGATAATGATTCTACAGATTCTGCACTTCTGCTCACTCAGGTAATGTTTGCATACCCTTAACATGTTTACATACCTTTTCTTGCTGGCAGAAGGTGCACTGAATATAGGGTAGACAACAGCAGTTGAAGAGGATTCTGGAAAAGATGCGTAAAGTTGTTGTGGTTTAAAATCCTTTTTAGTTACAGAATCACAGAGTGGTTAAGAAGAATCCAAATGCAGAACATATGGATGGACAGAAATACAGATTTAGGAATAAAAGAGACTGATATGAGACACAATAATGATATCTCAGACCAGATATAAGATATCTTATATCAACCAGGAAACCCTGCCACAAGAGAATTGTGTTTCCCTGGCTATTTATAAAATTATTACAATAAATAACATTAAATCAGGCATAGGTTTCAGCTCCTATTTTATATTTCTTTGGCTAAAACTGCCTTTCTTCATCTTGGATAAAGCAGAAAAAAAAGGACAGACTCGGAGCTAGTGTACAAGACGCACGTCTGGAGATAATTTTGCAAAAGTGGTACGGAAAGACAAGGAAATTATTAGTTAGCAATATTTTTCCTCCAAGGACAGAAAGCTCAGGCGCTGGCTGCTTGCTGCTCTTGTAATATTTTAACAGCACACAAAGACTCCTTAGTAACAACAGCAAACACGTACATAAGCAAAAGAAGACAGTCCTGAGAGCCTCCCAAAAACACACCATAACGCCAACCCAGTTGTTTTTAGGAAACAGGACACCCCAAAATGTCTCTTGATAATATCACAAAGGCAATAGGAGTCTTGAGGATACTAGTACTTGACAAAAAGCATAAGACTTCATGGAAATGCAGGATGTTACCGGGCCCTGACAGCGCTTGGAACAGTGACAGCAAGTGCTGTTCAACAGGACRATGGTGTCAAAGCTTCAGGAATGGAATGAGGAGAGGTTTTCCTGACAGGTTAGGCCGTAGTGATTGAGATTCCAGAGGCAAATGTGCTTTAATATTAAATGCTACAGCTTGAGAACAGCTACAGGTGGAGAAAATGAGGGAGTCTTGCAGTAAAGAGGTGGAGATAATGGAAAGAAATGGGGCTGGCAGCAACAGTAACTGACTCCTTGGAACAAGCGGAGGAAGTTGAGCAGAGAAACGGTGACCTTCAAGAAAATAAACTTCCCCGAGTTCCAAAGAAATGGGATAAATCAGTTCCCATGGGAAGCAAGTCTAACGGGGCAAAAAAAACAAAACAGAAGAGTGAAGGAGTGCTGGCAACTTGTCAAGAAAATGATGAAGACCAGATGTGCAAKTTACCACAGGATGGGAGAAGAGGATTAAGAGACAAATATGGGTAAATCGTAAGTTCTTCACCAACTGAGAAGTAAGGAAGCAYACGGGGAAGAGAAATCAGGGGAGAGCACAGCAACAACATGAAGGATTGGGATCAGAAATGCCAAAATGTGAGCTGTACCTAGAAAGGCCAGGGCAGGAAGAAAGCCACCTATAATAGGAGGGAACACTAAAACAGTTGATAAATTAGGACCAAAATATTTAATGCTTTTCTAAATTTTATCATCRATACCAACTTAGCCCTCTTAGTTGTGATCAGCTGTGATTGTGTTATCACAGCTAATACGCAACGAGGGGATCAACTTGGCGTGGCCTAAAGAAAGATGTAAAGAGAACAATTAAACAAACTTTTTAAGATTGGTTAAGATTAAATTAACCCCAGGCTTCTGAGGCGACTTGGAGAACACAAAGGTTCAAAAAGGAACACTACCTATCTTTAAAGGGGGAAAGTGGAGAAAACAGGAAATGGGTGAGCATCAGGAATAAACAATTTAATGAATCAAATGGAAGGAATAATATATGCTTGTAGGTCTGTTAACTATAGCTAGCAGATAGGAGCAGTTAAAAATCTAATTTCGAAAGGATTCCTACATCCAAAATGCTCAGAAGCAGGTAGCCTGAAACAAGGGTAAGTGGCACTACTGAAGAATAAAGCGAGAACTGAAGTTAGGGACCRATTCTGTGGCAGCAGCTGTGCATTAAACACTTGGTTTGTTGTGCACTGGAAAATAATATGGGAAAACCAGAGGGCTTCTTGGGGAGATGTACACAGCAGCCCTGCACGCGGGGCGTGAGCTGCCCCTTCCTGCTGCCCTCTGCCAGCAAAGGCAAGATATGGCTCAGTTTGTGCAGGAAAACAAACAGATGCCTAAAAAATAAAAATCACAACTGAAAAGGAAMCCTAAAAGAACCAAGCTAAAAAGAAAACCTAGCTTAAAAAAATAAATATCACGACTAAAAGGAAAACTGAAAGAACCAAGTTGATTTAGCCTTGGGGGAAGTTAATGCGGAGAGATTAAATAAGTTTTAAATATTACGATATAAGTATTGTAACTTCTCAAATGCTCCTGGGAAAGAGATAACTAGTAAGGGGAAGAGGAAAGATAGGTTAGATATCAGGATAAATATAAACATATGTGTTGCTCAACATTAAAACAGATTTGTCAGGGAGACTGTGGAATCTTGCTTGTTACTGCCTAACCTGTTAGGAAAAAAAAGAAAAATATGTAACTTAATAGTTGCTCCTGTTGGCGAGAAGATAATCTAAGTCTTTAAATCCCTTAAAACCCTTTCCACTTCATTTTCCTACGGCAACAAAGGGCACACGCCAAGTCACGCACCATCACACTCACCCTTCTTGGTCCCCTTGCGTGGAGACCGGCTTGAAGGAACAACCTCCTCATCATCGGAATCACAGGCTCCAGTTTCACCAGAATCCTATAAATTAAGGCACAGCTTTAGAGCCAAAAGAAAACCCTGTGTGGGATTTTGGAACTATTGCCTGAAAAGTGAATCAGATATCGTTCAGGTGTGATCTTCAGCCTAACATTAAGCAGTATTATGAAATGTTACTAACGGTTTTATTTTTCAATAGCAAAACAGTCTTAGTAGACTACCCATCGTTATTAATGTAGTAACTTGAGGGTGAATTGATTCACTTACCATTTCTCTTAGTAAATTACCCCAACAAATAAAAAAATAAAAATCTTAAAGATAGTTGCTGTTCTTACTTCCCCAGCTTAACATTGCTGGGGCTCTGCCTCATTTTCTCCAGCTTCAAAGCTTTTGGAAGCCTCCAGCAAATATTCAATAAAAATGAAAGCCTTCCAAGTTGATTTTGCCTTAAATGCTGGGTTTTTTTGGTTGGTTGTGGTTTTTTTTTTTTTGTATTTGACTAGTATTTCTCATCTCATCAGAAATCCAGCAAATCATTAGGTAAAAACAACTAGATCTGCCACAAATGAGCTGAGACTAGATTRGCCTATATCGATTTTGCCATTTTGCAATAGCAAAGTCACTGTATTTCTTTTTTGGGCACTTTTCTTACAATTACCCTCCCAGAAACAGTTTGCCAGTGCCAAAGCAGCCGCAGCAGACCCAAATATTTTCAATTTGTATTTTGCTTTACTGCATGTGCAAGATGAGATTGCACAAGCCAACATTTGTCTTCTATTAACGCTGCATTGTAAAAGCAAATTCATAATCAAACCAGGCACGCGAGAGGTTACTAATACAGTGCAGGTGAACAAAGCAGGCAATAAATTTTCTTTTATTGGGCTAATGCAGGAAGATTAGCCCTCTACACATTAGTCCTATAAAAAAAAAACATTCCCACATTTTCATTGTTTCTTTCCAATGCCAAATATAACTACTACTAATGTATTCCGATGTCCACTCCCATTTCAATACACTGTAGATGCCAGAATGCAACAGCAAAATATGGCATTAAAAGTAACTGAAATACTAGGAAAAGCTGTCCCAATTTTGTGTTTTAGAGCTACGCTCATGCCAGGGCAACCCTTATATTTCACACTTAGGCACCAAGTTAGAAAGCAACATCCACATCCCAAACGAAACCACTCTCCAGCAAATCATAAAATTAAAACTGAGGTCTGGCAAGAAAGAGCTGGTTGGCAATGAGCTAGACACATTTCTAAGTTTAACCATTCCAGCGCTGCTGGATGTATTTGCAAAAGAATGAAAAATATGTTTAAAATATATATGTGCTTTCACCTCTTCTTTTTTCAATAATTATTTTGACAGATGTTTCCGGAAAAAAGAAAAAGTACAGAAAATGACTTCTCTATCAAGCACTAGGAATGTAAAAATAATTAAAAATAATAAAAGAATGCTTGTTTTTCTTCAGTAATACCCTAAGATTAAAATCTTCAAATACAGACCAACTCAGTAAATTCATTTTTGAAGCTTGCCTCGCCTAAGGGAGCTGCAGAACTAGCACACGTGGTTTTTAACAAGAAAATAATTGCAAAAAGATAATCACAGAGCAGGTGAAAGCCTGGGAGCATCCCTCAAGTTATTGCACAGMCTGTGCCAGCAAACAAATTTCTTATTATGCAAAAGTTTTCTCTAAATAAAGATCAATTTTGCTTTTGCTGACCAACTACTTCACCTGCTGAGAGGCTTAAGGCCAGGAAAAGGTTAAGAGCAGGGGTGTCTTCAGGGAGCGTTGAAGCTCCAGAACTCTCTCCTTCCTATTTTGAGGATTTTTTTCCCCAAAAAAGCAAAAAAAAAAAAAAGATTTAAAAAAAGAAAAAGACACGTTTAAGAAATTCTTTTCCAGCTTTGCTCCTGATGGTGGAAAACATAATAATAATAATAATAAATACAGATTAGTTTTTGCAAAACACTATCCCAAAAGCTTTCCTTCCAGCTATCCCAAATGGAATGTTTCACTGTGCTGGTCAGTAGCAATAGATAGGGATGACAGCAAGAAGTTGCTAGAGGTTTGCTACAGATTGATGCCTTCATAAGACAGGAACAAATCTGCAAAGGTTTTCTTAGGCCAAAACCACTAGCATGTACCCCTGCATGCTGAAATCAAGAGTTATCCCGGCTCGCTAAGCCAGCTCAGTGCACGGCACCCGAAAAGCTGCACCCGGCTGGGTCATTCCTCCACCTACCACGTTCTCTGCATCAGCAGCTTCCCCAGCGGGAGGTTTTGAGGCACAAAACCGAGCCCGGGCAGGGCCGCTTTGCTGCAGAGACGCCTTTCCTTCCCAAACAGCACCTCTCGCTTCATTTTTGAGGCTTGTAAATTCCTCCCCGGGCGCTTTTTCCGTMTTCTGAGGCACAGAAATCCTTCTCGCTGCGCCACCACCTTCGGGATTTTTGTGCCTGTCCCCTGAATTGGGCTGATCAGCTGTCGGCAACGCGGGCTGATCGTTTCCTTGCGGGGTCGCAGCGAGGCCCTCGGGGGCCTTATGGTCTGCGGGCAGCTTTTTAGAACCAGAGTGTGATTTCTTTCTGGTCAAGAAGAACGCTGCTCCTGACTGGAGTTTCAGAGCAGGTTTAACTTTCATGCTCAGGACTCGGAAGGGCGCATCCATTTTCTTTTGAATTAGGGAATTCACGTTCTCTTTCTCTGTGCTGGGTTTAGCAGGTGCTCTATCTGCCTTAGCCTTCTTAAGCTTTTTGGGGGGAGCTTTCCCCTTTCTGGAATTTGTTGCATGCTTGGCTGGTCTTGAGCTTATGTTCCTGCTGAGCTTCACCTGGGTCTTCTCAGTCCTGCTGGCAGTTGGGAGATTTTCATCATTTTTCCTCTCGATGAGGGAGAAATTCTCATTCAACTGCTTCCTCTCCAGAGGAGTGAGGTATTGCTTTTCCTTCCTATAAAAGGACATCACGGGCACAACGGGCTTGTAGGAGGCAGCAGCTTTTGGGGATAGTTTGGAATCCAAGAACTCCCCAGGTGCAGTTGTGGGGACACTGGCTGTCTGGAGCGGGGATTTATCCAGCGCCCGTGACAGTGGGGACTCTGGGGGAAGAGCCTCATTTTCTTTTTGATCGTCACTGGAGCTAGATGACCATTTTATCTGAGAAGCAGACCAGTGATTTCTCGATTTGTTGAGTGGAGACAGATCTTCAGCAAAGTCTACAATCAGCTTTTTCACTGGAGTCGCAAATACTAAGGATCCACTACAAAAACAAAACAAAAAAATCAAAATACCATCTATGCTATGGGAAACCTTCCAGGAACCATTTTGTTTAAATAATGCTAAAGCTTAGTTCAACAGTTTCCTCTGTTAGTACATACCCTGTAACCAACAGGAACAGGGATCAACATAGGGCATAAGAATTTCTTGCCATTCAGGCCATTTCTTTTTGAAAGAACTAATCTGTTTTCCTGCCTAAATACCATAAAGTGCAGGGAAACAAGAGCCATTTCATTTTCTGGAATGCTGCTGACATAGGCAGTGCTGTCAGTGAGGAAGCAGAAGAAATGCTTGCTACGTTTCAGACTAATTCCATCAAATGAGATTTGTGCATCTGTGAAAGATTCCTTTCCCTCTCCCTTCCCCATCTGTATGATTGATAAAGTGGGAGAAAAAAAAAAAAAAAAGAAAAACCAGATTCCCACATTTTTTAATATCATTTTCCGAAAAGCAAAAGACTTACACCAGTCTCATGACTATGTGAGAAGCTAAAAGGTTGTCAGTTCCTCTCTCAAATTATTTGAGCCGACTGGCCAAATAATATGTAGATATATACAGTTTATATAAAGGACACGTTCAGCTGTTCTTCTTCCTGGCTGTAACATGTCACATACGATTGCCTGGTTCCTGAAAGAGCGAGGTATTTGTTCAGCAAGAGCAGTGCTCACTTGCTCAAGTATGTGTCATTGCAGTGCACGGATCAAACTTCACTCTTGGTYGCCACCCAGAAAGATTTTGGGTGGGGGGAAATGCAGGGCAAACACGAGAAAAATCTGTTCAGCTATAGTTTTGAAAGAAGAAAAAAKAAACTATTCTTTGAGATTTGTAACTTTTGTTGTTGTTTGTGGGCAATGGCTTCTTCTTTAAAAGATTTAGGGTAAAAATAATGGATATTTTTTACTTGTGCACACCTGTGTGTGTATATGCACAAATAAATGATCCCTTCCTTCTATTAATACTTGAGGAATATTTAGCCAATCTTTGTAAAGTTTCAGGTATTTCTCTACTGTATATCAAAGCTTTCCAAGTGGGATTTTCTTCTTCTGAATTAGTAAGAGAAGGAAATGCACACACCAGGGTTTTTATTTCTTAAGTTTCTTAAGAATTAGTTAACAACCGCTTTCTGTTGTTTTTTGACCTGCTTAGGGCTAGGTCTATGTGCAAGTGTCACGTATACAGATGTGCACTTTAKAAAGGTGACTGTCAAAACAGGGGAACTTTGTTTTCTTTAAAATAAAAAATAAAAGGAAAAAAGCTCGAATGTGCTAGTTCAACCCAGTAATCTAGGCCTGCAAGGTATGAAATCAGTGCGATGGCTTTTACGCATTTCTCAACCTACATGTTATGCTATTAGATTGATGATCATTTTTGACTTAGGGTTCCCTATATATTAAATGAAAACTTTCAAGCTGCTCAGTACAATATAAAGCATTAGTGTGTCCTTGCGTGATAAACATGAGTGAATGACAGTACATTTCATGACCACCTTAATATTTCTTCACTTGACCTGAAAGCTCTGAAGATTTTAAACATTTCTCTTATTCTCAGTATTTGGGGGAAAGTATTAGAGAATTGTTTAAAGAAAAACAAAATAAAAATAAATATATATATACTTATGCCTAGTTAGCATACCCATCAGTAGAACTACGGTTCCTTTTGCGTGGAGTGACAGTTGCCATATCTTCAGCAGAGTGCCTGAAAAAAACACATTTTAAATAGCCTGGAAAAGAAGGCTTAAGGTGAAAGAAAAAGAGCACTGAAAGAAAGCTTTTTCCTTTAAGGAGGCACTGAAGAACTAGGAAAATACATCGAATGGAAGCAGTTCAAGTATGACAGAGCATTTTAACTTTTGATAGAATGACAGATATAAGAATAATTTGGGGTTATGTTTCAGGTGAGTTTAAGCTGTAATAAGGTAGACAGAGAAAGAATCTCTTTCAGTCTTGTCACATCCAGTCCTGTCATTGTGGACAAATGCACCATAAAAACAAAGTCCCTTTTCTAAACCGGAGTCCGAGACCTCTGAAATTTGTTTTTCCTTTTGGAAAGTTAATTTTAGACCTCACTGCTGCGGTTCCTATAAATATCCTCGCTCTCTGCCTACATATCTTCACAGTCAGCTCATTCCCTGGAGTGTTTTATGTTGACATTTACCTTGAAGCGGAAAGATCTCATTCCTCGTGTTCACACCCAATGGGCCTAGAGAAAAATCTCTCTTCCCTTCCATCTTGCCAGATGCAATAAACAGTTATCCGAGTCTCCGTTATCAAAGTAGCTTGGCATAAGTGTCGCTTGACATTAATTTTTCTGGGGTGCTGCTTGTCATGCAAGAAAGACAACTGAAAGAGCCATGCCCAGGATCCTATCTCTAAGACGACTAACAGCAGATATTCAAAACCTGCTTGAATAACTTACTAAATAACTTATTCAGAAATCTGCCAGTAGAGGGAGGTTCTCCACAACATGTGGGTGTTTATGCGCTGCTGCTTTCGGGAAGCRGTGACTGAGTGACCCGCGAGCGACAAGCTGTTTTGGGCCACAGCACAGGCCTTGGCGGGGATTCAAAACCACCAGCTGTGTAACTAGACCGGGGGCTGTGTGATTTCTGAACGCAGCGGCACTGGTAAGGGGGAATTGCAAGGAAAGGTACGGTGTGCAACCTTGCACGTGGCCWAGGGTGCTGTGAGCACGGAATGAAGAGCCCAGATTGCTAGAAAATGAGATACAAGAGGTGGGAAGAGGTTGAGGAGGCTTAAAAGTTTCCCACTGTTAAGCTACAGATGCCATAAGCTGTTCCAGGCCAACTCGTAGCTTTGACCCCTAAAACTCCTGCTAATGCCCTGCACAACAAGGGGGTGCCAGACCCTCACCCTGMCACCCCACAGGCACCTGGGAGGATCCTACATGTTCGTCCCTCACATAGTCCCCTCTGCACCGGCACCCTGCATGGGCTTGAGACAGAGCAGCCCACACCGGACACTCCGCTACGCCCAACTCAGCATCATCCCCCAGTCCCAAATATACCCTGGACCTGACACTACCTGGGACCCCCTCACCCCACACCAGATCCTCCTACCCAGGCCTCCTACACCCCTCAACGCACACGAGAAGTCCCCAGCTCCCCACACCCCTCACACTAGACCCCCCCAGCTCCCCACACATCCCTTCCACTAGACCCCCCAGCTCCCCACATCCCTCACACCAGCCCCC